TGCCCAGGCTGGAGTGCAGTGGCTTCTATATGTGGTCTCTCCATGTGAGCTGTTTTGGGATTGCTTACAGCATAACAGCTTCAGGGCAGTCAGGCTACTTACATACCTCAGCCTGTAGCATTGAGTGTTGCAGCAAAGCAGAGGCTGCCTCACCTTTTCTGATTTCGCTTTGGGAGTCACGTAACATGACTTCCACCACATTCTGTTAATTACAAGTGAGTCATAAGCCTGCTCAAATTCAAGGGGATGGGACACAGAACTCATCCCTTGATGGGAAGGATATCAAAGTCACATGGTAAGAAAAGCATGTGGGGCTGGGCACGGTGGCTCATGCCTGTAATTGCAGCAATTTGGGAGGCCAAGGTGAGTGGACTGCTTGAGGTCAGGAGTTCAAGACCAGCCTGACCAATGTAGTGAAAGCCAGTCTCTACTAAAAATCCAAAAATTAGGCCAGGTGTGGTGGCTCACGCCTGTAATCCCAGCACTTTGGGAGGCCGAGGCAGGTAGATCACCTGAGGTCAGGCGGTTGAGACCAGGCTGGCCAACATGGTAAAACCCCATCTCTACTAAAAAAAAAAAGTCTGGGAGCAGTATCTCACACATGTAATCCCAGCACTTTGGGAGGCTGAGGTGGGCAGATCAGGTCAAAAGATTGAGACCAGCCTGGCCAAGATGGTGAAACCCTGTCTCTACTAAAAATACAAAAATTAGCTGGGCGTGGTGGCGCACTCCTGTAGTCCCAGCTACTCGGAGGCTGAGGCAGGAGAATCGCTTGAACCTGGAAGGTGGAGGTTGCAGTGAGCCGAGATTGCACCATCGCACTTCAGCCTGGCGACAGAGGAAAACTCGATCTCTAAATAATAAGTAAATAAATAAATAAAAATAAAAAATTTAGCCAGGTGTGGTGACAGGCACCTGTAATCCCAACTACTTGGGAGGCTGAGGCAGGAGAAACACTTGAATCTGGGAGGCAGAGATTGCAGTGAGCCGAGATCAAGCCACTGCACTCCAGCCTGGGTGATAGAGCAAAATTGTGTCTCAAACAAATGAACAAAAGCCCATCTCTGAGTATTTTCTTCTCTTTGTATCTCTGGGGAGGCCCTGGGGGCAGGTATTGGCCTTTGGGGGCCATGGTGAGCAGAGCACTGAGCAGGAAAGGTGGATGGAGATGCCCACCTGGGCACTTTCCTGCCCATAGGATATGTCATCTAGTGACAGTGACTCTGACTCGGATGGGGGCGGCCATCTCTCACCGTTCCTTCCCCACGACCACCTCGGCTTGGCTGTCTTCTCCATGCTGTGCTGTTTCTGGCCTGTGGGCATCGCTGCCTTCTGTCTAGCCCAGAAGGTCAGTGTATGTGTGGGACTGGGAGGGGACTGGGCATAAAAGAGAAAAATGCACCACAAAAACAGCTGTATACAAGGCGGGAATTCCGTTGAAAGGCAGTCCAGAGTGTTAGTTAAGAACCACCTGAAATCAAATGCTGAGTCTGCCACTCTGCAAGATTTTTGTTTGAGATGGAGTCTTGCTCGTTACCCAGACTGGAGTGCAATGGCACGATCTCGGCTCACCGCAAGCTCCGCCTCCTGGGTTCAGGCAATTCTCCTGCCTCAGCCTCCTGAGTAGCTGGAACTACAGGCGTGTGCCACCATGCCCAGCTAGTTTTTTATATTTTTAGTAGAGACGGGGTTTCACCTTGTTGACCAGGATGGTCTCGATCTCTTGACCTCGTGATCCACCCGCCTCGGCCTCCCAAAGTGCTGGGATTACAGGCTTGAGCCATCGTGCCCGGCCCTATTTTAATGTTTTATTAGGCACTCAGCATCCCCAGTGGCTCACCTATAGTAGGTGCTACATACCTGCTTTTGGAATACATATATGCATGAATGAATGGGTATGTTGGGTGGGGGAGGGACCAGGGGAAAGGTCTGGGGCTGAGGGGATGCCTGGGTCACTGCTGCCCACTGCCTCTACAGACCAACAAGGCTTGGGCCAAGGGGGACATCCAGGGGGCAGGGGCCGCCTCCCGCCGTGCCTTCCTGTTGGGGGTCCTCGCCATCGGGCTGGGCGTGTGCACATATGCGGCTGCCCTGGTGACCCTGGCCGCCTACCTTGCCTCCCGAGACCCGCCCTAGTTGCTCCTACAGCCCTCACTGTGAACCATGAGGCCGGCAGTCCAGCGAATCTGTGGGCAGAGAGTGGAGAATCTTGGTGGATGAGGCTGCGGCGGCAGCAGGAGCATCTAGAGATGGGAGCAAGCTGGACTGGAACCCCTCCCCTTCCTGGCCACCGCTCATCGGGCGGCAGCAACGTGAGATTAAACACCAGACACCCTTGCATCCAAACCAGAGCCTATTCGTGTGTGTGTGTCGGGGAGGATGGAAGGGGTTGGGGTGCTTGAGACCAAGAGGGGACCAACCGGTCAGGGTGATGAGCTGTGGTGGGCATCCATCCCAGGGTGCTTGCTCCCTGAGACCTGAGCTGGAGAAGGGGGAAAGAGGGTTTTGTTATTGTCGTTGTTGTTTTTGGGATGGAGTTTCACTCTGTCACTCACAGGCTGGAGTACAGTGGCACGATCTTGGCTCACTGCAACCTCCACCTCCCGGGTTCAAACCATTCTGCCTCAGCCTCCAGAGTAGCTGGGATTACAGGCACCTGCCACCACGCTCAGCTAATTTTTGTATTTTTAGTAGGCAGGGTTTCACTATGTTGGCCAGGCTGGTCTTGAACTCCTTTTTGAGATGCAGTTTCGCTCTTGTTACCCAGACTGGAGTGCAATGGCACGATCTTGGCTCACCGCAACCTCCGCCTCCTGGGTTCAGGCAATTCTCCTGCCTCAGCCTCCTGAGTGGCTGGGATTACAGGCACGCACCACCATGCCCAGCTAATTTTTTGTATTTTTAGTAGAGACAGGGTTTCACCATGTTGACCAGGATGGTCTCGAACTCTTGACCTCGTGATCCACCTGCCTCGGCCTCCCAAAGTGCTGGGATTACAGGCGTGAGCCACTGTGCCCGGCTGGTTTTATTTTTTTCATAGATTTAGTACCGTCTGGCAAATACCAGCTCAGCTGCGTGCTCCTCTGGGATCTCACTAGCAGGGCCTGCAGACATTGGGTACTCCACAGATGTGTTAAAATGAATTAATTTATTGACTCATCCATTCCATAAATGTGAACTCCTTGTTGGGCAGGGATCTGTGTCCCCAAGCCTGGGGACTGTCAGGGGCCAAGGCCTCCCTGCAGGAGCCCCTATGGTAACATGGCTGCAGGCTCACTGTCCTATGAGCCCATAGGACAGAGAGGCAAGGCTGGGCCGCTGGTTTGCTTCAGGCTGTAGCGGGTGGGTGGGTGGGTGGAGGCAGAGGGAGTGGCCCCCTGCCCCAGCTTGTCTCAGCTCTTGGAGTAACGCCTCTGCAGCGATTCCCGGTAGAAGCGGAAGACGTGTTGCGAAGCCGCCTGGGCCGCGGCCAGGCACTGCTGGAGCTTCGGGGGAGAGACTGGTTGGTGCTGGGGGCTGAGACCTGTGCGCGCGCGCGCACACACACACACACACACACACACACACACACACACACACACACACACACACGACGGGGCTGATGCAAGAGGTTTTGCTGACCCCCACCTGCCTCCCTTCGCCCCCCAAACCCACCACCTCCCCCTTCACCTCCCATCACTCCCCCGCCCCCAAGTGAGACAGGTGGTGAGGCATTATCTCCCACTTCACGAGCCGTTTCTTAGAGATCAGGAGAAATAAAGAGAGGGTGAGGGCTTCAGGGGTAAGATTCTGACAGCAACAGGACTCAGACCAATCAGGCATCCTCTCCTACCTTGGAAGAGGCCCCAGCTTTGCAGAGCTAGGGAACTGGAGAAAGTGCAGAATTGGAGTGGTCTTGGGAGTTTACAGTCATGGGCCCCTTGACCCCGAATAACCTAAGAGCCATGGAATCAAGAGACTCCCAGTCTTTCCTGCCATGTATTCCTAGATTCATAAGGTCCAGGTTGGACGTGCTTTTGCAGTTTCCAAGCTTCTGTCCCTTAGCCTGAGACCTGGAATTTTGGTGGCTTACCACTCTGAGCTAGGAGCTGGGGGACCATCATGTGCCCTCATCTTCTGACTTTATTTTTTTATTCTTATTTTTTTGAGGATTGAGTCTCACTCTGTTGCTCAGGCTGGAGTGCAGTGGCACGATCTTGGCTCACTGCAACCTCTGCCTCCTGGGTTCAAGTGATTCTCCTGCCTTAGCCTCCCGTAGCTGGGATTATAGCTGCGTGCCACCATACCCAGCTAATTTTTTGTATTTTTAGTAGAGACAGGGTTTCACTGTTAGCCAGGATGGTTTGGATCACCTGACCTCGTGATCCACCCACCTTGGCCTCCCAAAGTGCTGGGATTACAGGCGTGATCCACTGCGCCCAGCCTTATTTATGTATGTATTTATTTATTAATTAATTATTTTTGAGATGGAGTCTTGCTCTGTTGCCAGGCTGGATGGAGTGCAGTGGTGCAATCTCAGCTCATTGCAACCTCCACCTTCTGGGTTCAAGTGATTCTCCTGCCTCAGCCTCCTGAGTAACTGGGACTACAGGCATGTGCCATCACACCCGGCTAAAGTTTCTTTTTTTTTAATTTTAGTAGAGACAGGGTTTCACCACGTTGGCCAGGATGGTCTCAATCTCCTGACCTCGTGAGCCACCCGCCTCAGCCTCCTAAAGTGCTTGGATCACAGGTGTGTACCAGTGGGCTCATGCCTGGCCATCTTCTGACTTTAAACTGAGCTCAGCCTCTTTTTGCCTGTCCCATAAATTGGGCTTCCCTTAAACATTTCCACAAAGGTTTCTGGGACCACAAAGTTTGAAAACTCTGTTTTTTACAAGCAGAAATGCAAGCGGCTCTCCTGAACCCTCTCAGAATCCGGGGTAGAGTTGGGACAAGACTGCATGTCGGTGGGAGGGAAGGCTCTGGCTTTTGCCCTCATCCCCATGCTGGTACCTCAGCGTCCGAGAAGAGCCCCTTGGTGCTGGACATGAGCAGCTTCCGTTCCACGTTGTCCAGGGCGAAGGTCAGGACTGCCCGGGCCTCCTAGGGACGAGGGGAAGAAGGTAGTGGGAGACCTAGGACCCTCCCTTCAGATAAAATCTCAGCCAGTCCCTTGGCCAGGCACAGTGGCTCATGACCATAATCTTGGCACTTTGGGAGGCCGAGGCAGGCAGATCACAAGGTCAAGAGAGACAGTCACCCTTCTATGGGGTTAGAAGGGTAGAGCATCCCATCTCTACTAAAAATACAAAAATGATCTGGGCGTGGTGGTGTGTGCCTGTAGTTCCAGCTACTCAGGAGGCTGAGGCAGGAGAATCGCCTGCACCAGGGAGGTGGAGGTTGCAGTGAGCCAAGATCACGCCACTGCACTCCAGCCTGGGTAACAGAGCGAGACTCCATCTCAACTGCCAAAAAATGCAACAGCTCCCCCCATCTCAAGCCCTCCACATGGTTTCTGCCTTCTGGATTGGAGGAAACCATGAGAGCACTGGGCAGACAACACAGAATAACCTGAGCTCAGACACTGAGCCTGAGCTGATGTTTGCTTTTGAGCCTCTTAAGATGGAAACTGGGAGCTTACGGGGTCAGTCCCAGCCTCAGGAAAGATGCTAGCCACGGAGAATGAAGCTGAGAAAGGCAGGGACGAGAAGTGAAGCGAGGACATCCTGATGGTCCTGGTTTTATTTCATTATTTTTTTGAGATGGAGTTTCACACTTGCCTACGCTGGAGTAAAGTGGCACAATCTCAGCTCATTGCAACCTCTGCCCTCTGGGTTCAAGCAATTCTCCTGCCTCAGCCTCCTGAGTAGCTGGGATTACAGACACATGCCATCACGCCTGGCTAATTTTTATATTTTTAGTAGAGAGAGAGTTTCACCATGTTGGCCAGGCTGACCTCAAGCCTTACTGCCTCAGCCTCCCCACCAGCTGGGACTACAACAGGTGTGCACCATCATGCCTGGCTAATTTTTTTTTTTTTTTTTTGAGACGGAGTTTCGCTCGTTACCCAGGCTGGAGTGCAATGGCGAGATCTCGGCTCACCGCAACCTCCGCCCCCTGGGTTCAGGCAATTCTCCTGCCTCAGGCTCCCAGGTAGCTGGGATTACAGGCACGCGCCACCAGGCCCAGCTAATTTTTTGTATTTTTAGTAGAGACGGGGTTTCACCGTGTTGACCAGGATGGTCGTGATCCACCCGCCTCGGCCTCCCAAAGTGCTGGGATTACGGGCGTGAGCCACAGCGCCCGGCCTGCCTGGCTAATTTTTATATTTTTAGTAGAGTCGGGGTTTCACCATGTTGTCCAGGCTGACCTCAAGCAATCTTACTGCCTCAGCCTCCCCACTAGCTGGGACTACAGGCGTACACCATCATGCCTGGCTAATTTTTATATTTTTAGTAGAGTCGGGGTTTCACCATGTTGTCCAGGCTGGTCTTGAACTCCTGGCCTCAGGTGATCTGTACATCTCAGTCTCCCAAAGTGCTGAGATTACAGGTGTGAGCCACTGTTCTTGGCCATACTTTTTTTTTTTTTGAGACCGAGTTTCACTCTTGTCACCCAGGCTGGAGTGCAATGGTGTAATCTCAGCTCACCACAACCTCTGCCTCCCAGGTTCAAGTGATTCTCCTGCCTCAGCCTCCCAAGTAGGTGGGATTATAGGCATGCACCACCACGCCCAGCTAATTTTGTATTTTTAGTAGAGACAGGGTTTCTCCATGTTGGTCAGGCTGGTCTCAAACTCCTGACCTCAGGTGATCCACCTGCCTCGGCCTCCCAAATTGTTGGGATTGGCTGGTCCGAGTGCAGTGGTGTTTACAACTAATTGATTACAACCAGTTACAGATTTCCTTGTTCCTTCTGCATTCCCACTGCTTCGCTTGACTAGCGTTTTAAAAAAAAAAGTGTTGGGATTATAGGCGTGAGCCACCACACCCAGCCATACATTTCCTTTCCAACGAAGGAAGTTTGAGCTGGGTTTCTGTCACTTGCTGCTAAACGAACCACGATGATTGGAGCAGCCCTTGCTAAGTGGGACTGACGTGGCATGAGCCAACTGTCTGCAGAGAAGTGAGGCCTGGAGGGAGGGAGGGGGAGCTGTCTGGCCTCTGCCTTTCAGCCACCCTGGTCATCACTTACCTTTTCTCGCTTGGATGTAGGATCCAGCACGAGGGTCCCATCAGAGTCCAGGGCACAGGTGACCCCACAGAAGAGAGCCCGCATGGGTACACCTGCATCCACCAATGCCATGCAGGCAGCATTCAGACAACAGGCCAGGAGCTGAGCACCATGAGCAATGGTTAAGTTTCTTTTTTGTTGTTGGTTTCTTTTTTTTTTTTTTGAGATAGAATGTCACTCATCGCCCAGGCTGGAGTACAGTGGTGTGATCTTGGCTCACTGCAACCTCTGCCCCCCAGTTTCAAGCGATTCTCCTGTCTTGGCCTCCCGAGTAGCTGGGATTATAGGCATCCACCACCACGCCCGACTAATTTTTTGTATTTTTAGTAGAGACAGGGTTTCACCATGTTGGCCAGGCTGGTTTCAAACTCCTGACCTCAGGTGATCCTCCTGCCTTGGCCTCCCAAAGTCCTGGGATTACAGGCTTGAGCCATAGCACCCAGCCTAAGAAGTTTCTACTGTAGGTCTGGCCAGCAGAGCAGATCCATGCCTCCCTCCACTGGGCCAATGGCTGTGGCAGATATCACTAATCGGTCACAGGACAGTATGGCAGAATAGTTAAAAGTGGTTCTGGGATTGCGTAACCCTGGGTTCCAGACCTGGCTTTACTCTTTCAGCTTGTGACCCTGAGGAAGTGACTTACTCCCAAGCTCCTCATCTGCTAGGTAGGGAATATCATAATATTCAACAGGTATGTACTGAAGTACGTACCACACGTTTTGGCAAAGGGGGTCAGAGAGGGGAAGAAACCTTCCAAAGTCACGTGGGGGAGGCACTGGCAGAGCCAGGCCTGAAATGTGCGTGGCAGCCACTCCCCAGTGACAGAGCTGGCAGGGCAGTGGAGGAAGAACCATTCTCACGGCTGCCTGCAGGGAACCCAGCATGGGAGGAGAGTGCAGGCTGCGAGTCAGCTGACTCTGCTTCAGCTTCCTCCTGTGTTTCTTCTCCAGGCCTAGCAGGCCACACAAAAGCCACAGCTTTAGAGTCAATCAGTTCCAGCTCTGCTGCTGATCCCCCACCACTTCCTCTGGGCTTCACTTTCCCCTTCTGTAAAATGGAGTTACAATACCTTCTCTCTCTGCCCTTCCATAAAACGTCTGTCTAGTTCAGGGCCGTGTACCAGTAAAGCCTTCTACAATGCCTAATTCTGGTCCTCAACCTCAACCTCCCTCACGTCAGACACAGTGATCTTTCAAGGCCAAGCTCCTGACTCAGCTGCTCTCTGCTCAGGGTGCCTCCAGCACTGACAGCCTGAAATCCACTAAGGTGCAGAGTACAAGTGATTGCCGGCCGGGCACAGTAGCTCATGCCTGTAATCCCAGCACCTTGGGAGGCCAACGCGGGCTGATCACTTGAGGTCAGGCGTTTGAGACCAGCCTGGCTAACATGGTGAAACCCCTTCTCTACTAAAAATACAAAAATTAGCCTGGCATTAGGGTGGCACATGTAATTCCTGCTACTCAGGAGGTTAAAGCATGGGAATTGCTTGAGCCCGGGAGGTGGAGGTTGCAGTAAGCTGGGATTGCACCACTGTGCTCCAGTCTGGGCGACAGACTGAAACCCTGGCTCAAAACAAACAAACAAACAAACAAAAAAAACAAAAGAGGTGATTGGCACAGGCTCTGGAGTCAGACTGGCCTGGGCTTGAGTCCTGCCTGTGCTGCCTTCCAGCTGTGTGTCCTTGGGCAAGCCCCTTCCCCTGTCTGGGCCTCAGTTTTGTCACATGAAACATGCGAAGATAAGAACATTCATCTGGCAGGGTCCTTGGGCTTAGAACTAGGTGATCTGGGTCTAAGTCTTGGCTCTGCCACTTGCACGGGGATCAGAAGGACATGTGTTTCACATGCTGTATTAAATGAGATATGTGTGTAAGGCACAGCAAACAGGGTCTGGCACATGAGCACTCAGGCTATGCTTATTCTCCTTCAGTGAGCTGGTGCCTGTCAAGTGTTTGAAGGCTTTCTGGCTAGCAGAGAGGGCATATGTGGCCACCAGAAAAGAAGCAATCAGGAGACTTCCTGGAGGCAGCAGCCTGTGGGAAAGGATACAGAGCCAGCATCGCTGACAACCTGCAGCACCACGGTGATGGAGGTGCGGGGGTGCAATGTGCCCAGCACCACCGCCTCGCACGTGTTCCTGATCAGCCGCTCCCGGTTCTTCTCTGCAACGCCTGAGGAAATTGAAGAGAGGTTGTCACAGTCTTCCCCTCCATGTGGCTCACCTTACTCCGTATGCTCCACCCAAACCCCCTGGAAAGGGCCCATAGTCTCAGGCTAGGATGGTGCAGGTACCTGCAGGGATGATGGAGGATTCCAGTGGGAAGGAGGCAGGGCCTGCCTGCCATCCACCGACCCCTGCTACCTCCGGCATCCACCAAGGGAACCATCCAGGGGAGGAAGACCTGAGAGTACCATGTCTGTGATGCTACCCACGCCCACTCCCACCCCAGCAGGCCCAGCCAGTGGGGACTGAGGGATATGAGGGTAAAAGGGTGAAAAATAAGTTAATGAGCCAGGCACAGTGGTTCACACCTATAATCCCAACACTATGGGAGGCTGAGACAGGCAGATCACTTGAGGTCAGGAGTTTGAGACCAGCCTGGCCAACATGGCAAAATCCCGTCTCTACTAAAATTACAAAAATTAGCTGGGCATGGTGGTGTGTGCCTGTAATCCCAGCTACTCGAGAGGCTAAGATAGGAGAATGGCTTGAACCTGGGAGGTGGAGGTTGCAGTGGGTTGAGATCACACTATTACACTCCAGCCTGGGTGACAAGAGTGACTCCATCTCAAAAAAAAAAAAAAAAAAGGTGGGCTCTGTGGCTCATGCCTGTAATCCCAGCACTTTGGTAGGCTGAGGCGGGTGGATCACCTGATCAGGAGTTCAAGACTAGCCTGGCCAACATGGTGAAACGCTGTCTCTACTAAAAATAGAAAAATTAGCTGGGTGTGGTGGCTTATGCCTGTAATCCCAGCTACTTGGATGGCTAAGACAGAACAGTTTGAACCCAGGAGGTGGAGGTTGCAGTGAGCCAAGATCGCACCACTACACTCCAGCCTGGGCAACAGAGCAAGACTCCATCTCAAAAAAATAAAAAATAAATTAAAAAGGGCCAGGCGCAGTGGCTCACACCTGCAATCCCAGTACTTTGGGAGGCCGAGGCGAGCAGATCACCTGAGGTCAGGAGTTTGACACCAGCCTAGCCAACATGGTGAAACTCTGCCTCTACTAAAAATACAAAAAAATTAGCTGGGGGTGGTGGCAGTTGCCTGTAATCCCAGCTACTCAGGAGGCCGAGGTAAGGGAATCGCTTGAACCTGGGAGGCGGAGGTTGCAGTGAGCCGACATCGCGCCACTGCACTCCAGCCTGGGCAACAGAGCAGGACACCATCTGAAAAAAAAAGAAAAAGAAAAAGAAAAACGGGTTAATGGAATGAAAGGGAGATAAAGGCAGAGATAGGGAGAAAGAGAGACGGAGGGAGAAATTAGAGGCAGACAGAGAAGCAACAGAAGATGAGACACAGGGACAGAGAGTTAAAGAAACAGTGGAGTGGAGACTGGGGGCAGCTGGCAGGGAGGAGCCAGGGAGCGGTTCTGACAAACTGGGCACTCTTCGGAGGTTCAGCAGTGCCCATTACCAGGCAGCCCGATCTTCGGCCTCAGGATCACTTCGAGTGTGGCCTTGTTGAAGATCTCTTTGCTGACCTTCACCTCGGCCGGCCCGTACACACCCGCCAGGACAGAGGTGTCACCTGGGGAGACAGCAGGGGAGGCCTCACTCACAGCGGCTTCTGGGGCCCCATTAGTGGCATTGAGCCTGATGGCCAGGGCTCCCCACGCCACCCCCGCCATTTGTTGGCAGTGATTCTTGGAGCACTCACTTCACTTTTCTGCCTGCGAATCCTCATTTGTAAAATGGGGACAACAGCAGTCCCTCCCCTCTAGCGTCCGGTAAGGGTCAAAGGACTCAATTCACAGAGAACACTTCAGACATTGTGGGGCTCATGCTGAGTGTGCAACTGACTTTAGCTGATATTAGTAATAGTCATCCATTAAGGCATTCAGGCAGGGTCTCACTCTCCTGGCCCAGGCTGGAGTGCAGTGGTGCCATCATGGTTGATTGCAGCCTCAACCTTTTGGGCTCAAGCAATCCTACCCCCTCAGCCTCCAGAGTAGCTGGAACTACAGGCACATGCTACCATTCCCGGCTTTTTAGTAACACACTATAGAAATGATCCCTGAAAGTACAGTCTTCATTCCCGGCTTTTTAAAAAAATTTTTAATAGAGATGGGGTTTCACCATGTTGGCCAGGGCTGGTCTTGAACTCCTGACCTCAGGTGATTTGCCCACCTTGGCCTCCCAAAATGCTGGGATTACAGGTGTGAGCCACTGTGCCGGCCTAATTTTAGTATTTTTAGTAGAGAGGGAATTTTGCCATGTTGCTCAGGAGGGTCTTGAACTACTGGGCACTTGTAATCCCAAAGTGCTGGGATTACAGGTGTGAGCCACCATACCTGGCCCTGATATTAGTAACTTTTAACAGGAAGTCCTTCCTGAAAGCTAACCATCCTCCCCCTTACTGCAGCTGCTCTCAGCCTCCTGAGTAGCTGGGATCACAGGCACCCACCACCACACCCAGCTAATTTTTGTATTTTTAGTAAAGATGGGGTTTTGTATGTAGGCCAGACTGGTCTTGAACTCCCTACCTCAGGTGATCCACCCGCCTCGGCCTCCCAAAGTGCTGAGATTACAGGCGTGAAGCCACTGCGCCCGGCCTCCCATGTCAAATTTTAAAGAAAAATGTTCTTGGAGTTAATCTAGTATTGAGTGTTATTTAGCTAGGGGAAGGGCATATTTACCCTATAGGTAAGACTTGCTCTAACCTTAGGGATATTTACTCCTGTGGAGAGATGCAGTGAGGTGGCAGTGGCGAGTATTTATGTGGGTGAAAGATCCGTCACAGTCCAGAGTATTTGCAAATAGATAGGTTTGCGTCAGTCCGGGATGCATGGACCTAGAGTGTGTGTGTGAGAGGCGGAGGACGAATCTAGTTAAGGGGGATATTTACTCTGGTGAGGTGATTTTCCCTATTCTGAAATATCCATTCTTGGGGGGACGGTCTGCCCCTCTTCTGTTTCTCAGAGATATTTGCCAGGATGGAGCTATCTTCTCCTTTCTAGTCGTGAGGGAGAGATGTGTGTATCGCTGCGTATGTAGTAGTATTCAACCGGACAAGAAATCCTGCATCAGTGCAGGAGTGACATTTACCAGCTGGTAACGTGGGGAGGTGGACACTCAGTTGCACTGTAGTCTCTCTCTGAAAGAAAGACCAGCGTGAAGTTCTTACCTTGTAGGAAAGAAGCAGAGCCATCTGGCCTCGACAGCAGGTTCTGTTCGCAGGCAAAGTGCCGGAGGCTGCAGCCGGGACCCCGAGGGCTGGACCCTCTTCCAGTTTCAGCGCCAATTTTGGCTTCAGTATGCCTCTCCTCCTCCATCACGCCAGACTCCACGTGCGGCTGCGATTGTCACTTCCGCCCGACCGCGCGCGCTGCGTACAGGGTGCGTAACCAGTGCGCACGCGTTGGGCTGGGCAGTCAGCCCCGGCGTCCGCACGTGGCTTAGCGTTTACCAACAATTTGGCTCCGCCCTGACCCACCTCCTAACTCTGGCAACACCATTGGGCAGTTGAGAACAGGAGGCGGGCCTTGGCCTGGTCCTGTTTTACTCTGAACACCGGGCCCCTAAATCCCTGGGGCCTTGGTCAGGTTGCCCTTTATTTTTGCCTGTTGCAGGAATAACTACAGTGAGGCAATTGTAGAAAACTGTGGACAGATAGATTTTCTTTTCCAAATCTCTGTGCATTCTGTCTACCACAGGAAGGAAAAAAGGTGGTTTCCGTGTCAGATGGTCCTGGAGTTTGCGTCAGGCATATAAAGGGGGAGCCCGGAGTCCAGCCTACAAGAGGGCCGGACCGCTAAATGGTTGTTAGCTAAGATGGCGGTAGCAATCGCTGCGGCGAGGGTTTGGAGGCAAAGCCGAATCCTGGGCCAGGCTGCCCTCCTCCTGCTGCTGCGGCGGCCTGGGGCTCGGGGACTGGCTATATCTGTGAGTACCTGGTCTCCAGGACGTCTTCCCAAAGGGGAATAGGGATGTAAAGGCTATCTTCAGAGTGTGGGGTCCCTGAAAGATATGAAGGAAGGGCTGTCCCAGAAGGGAAAACGTGGGAGACCTCTTGGAGAAGACACCGAAGGGAAGCTCTGCCACTTCCTTAGGAGAGGAAAAGAACCTGATTGCAACTTCTTTGTGGGCCCTGAGGGAGAAAGACGACTTGAGAAGGATGGAGTTCCTTATCCGCTGTCTTCCCCTATTCAGGGCTCCTTGGAGGGACCGCAAGACCTTTTTCTCTCAGGGTTTGGAGAATGCAACTGACTTTGTAAGGGAGAGACTTTCTTCTGGGCAAAGATCCCTCTTCAAGAAGGAGAAAGAAGAGAGCAGGTCCCTGTCACAGGCTGCATAGGGCCCTGTAGTTCTTTGCTCCTTTGCCACAATTCTGATTTTAAAATGAAATGTGTAAAAGATTTGTTTCATTCCTGTGTCTTCTGTTCGAATATCAAGACAGGGAATTCGTGTGTTCTGGACACACTACAGAGGAAATGATTAGTATTTGTTGAATTAATGAGGGGGGAAGAAGAAGAGAGGTGCAGACAGGACACTTTGCCCACATTTCTTAGAAACGCTTGAGAAGGCTTTGTTTCTTGCCAAAAGAGTCACAGTCCCATCAGGTGGATGCTGCTATGGGCAAGATTACCCTGCAGATAACGTAATTAGAAACCCCTCTTTGGGGTGGGGGAGGCAGTAGCTTGCAGAAGAGCTTTGAACTGCAGTTGACAGAGTAGTGGTTAAGTGGGTGGGTTCACGTCCTTGCTCTGCCACTTTCCACTTGAGTAGCCTTGGGCAACAGACTGCACCTCTCTGGGTCTATGGACCTAATTTTCCTCCCTGTAAAATATTAACAGTGGCCATCTCATAGGGCTGTGAAAAATTAATGTGTAAAATGCTAAGGACTGGACCTGGCACATCATAACTGCAATAGGAATGTTGGTCATTGTTGATAGTGAGGGTGGAGGGAAGGGGTAGAAACTGACCTTGGAGATGGGGAGAAGAAAGGGCGTGACCTTGGGAGGGCCAGGATGGGTGAGGCCCTGGGGAAAAAAAGTCTCAAAAGATCTTGTGAGGATGAGTCTGATCCTCTGATCCTCAGTCCATGAGGAGGGGAAGATGGAATCTGTAGGAAGAAGCTCTGGGTAGGGGGACAAATGGGAGAAGGGTGAAGAGGATGGGCCAGGAGTGGGGCATAGTAGGTACCTAGGAAGGGAGTCACTTGAAATAGGTAAATGCAGAAGGGCTGCAGGAGCAGGTGTGGGTAGGGCAGTCTCCTGCCTTTGGGCTATCCTCTTTTGCGAACAATCATATCCTCCACAGCTGATCTCAGTCCCAGGAGCCCTTTGGCCAGGCAAGTGGGGCGGGAGGTGGGCAGGCTAGGGAAAGGTCATTTATGGTTGATTACATCTTTCTCTCCTGGCTCAATGTCCTGATTACCTTTCCTCTTGCTTTCCCTCCTTCATTTTTGGTGGAGAGTGGGGAGGGAAGAAGTCCCTACTTTTTATTTATTCATGTATCTTTAAATTTGTATTACCTTAGAGTTATTATTTTTTCCCCTTTATTTTGCCCACCTGTTCTTTCTCTCTCCTGTCTTCCCTCCCCTTACCTCTCCTCCCCTTTCTCTTTTCTCTCTCTCTTACTTTCTGTACCTCTCTTTGTTTTTTCTTTTTTGAGACAGAGTTTTGTTCTCTCACCCAGGCTGGAGTGCAGTGGCACGATCTTGGCTTACTGCAACCTCTGCCCCCCAGGTTCAAGCAGTTCTCCTGTCTCAGCCTCCCTAGTAGCTGGGATTACAGGCATGTACTATCACGCTTGGCTGATTTTTGTATTTTTGGTAGACAGGGTTTTGCCATGTTGTCCAGGCTGCTCTTGAACTTCTGGCCTTAAGTGATCCGCCTGCCTTGGCCTCCACAGGCATGAGCCACTATGCCCAGCCTTTTCTTTCTTTCTTTGAGATAGGTTTCACTCTGTCACCCAGACTGGAGTGAGTGTAGTGGTGTGATCATGGCTCACTGGAGCCTCAACCTCCTGGGCTCAAGCAATCCTCCCACCTCAGCCTCCTGAGTAGCCGGGACCATAGGCCCATGCTACCACACCTGGCTAATTTTTAATTTTTTAATTTTTTTTTTTTTTTTTTGAGATGGAGTCTCGCTTTGTTGCCCAGGCTGGAGTACAGTGACACAATATCGACTCACTGCAGCCTCCACCTCCCAGGTTCAAGTGATTCTCTTGCCTCAGCCTCTCAAGTAGCTGGGACTACAGGCATGTGCCACTACGCCCAGCTAATTTCTGTATTTTTTTTTTGAGACAGGTTCGCTCTTGTTACCCAGGCTGGAGTGTAATGGCGCCATCTTGGTTCACCGCAACCTCCACCTCCTGGGTTCAGGCAATTCTCCCGCCTCAGCCTCCTGAGTAGCTGGGATTACAGGCATGCGCCACCATGCCCAGCTAATTTTTTGTATTTTGAGTAGAGACGGAGTTTCACCATGTTGACCAGGATGGTCTCGATCTCTTGACCTCATGATCCACCTGCCTCGGCCTCCCAAAGTGCTGGGATTACAGGCTTGAGCCACCGAGCCCAGCCTAATTTTTGTATTTTTAGTAGAAATGGGGTTTTACCATGTTGACCCAGGCTGGTCTTGAACTCCTGACCTCAGGTGATCGGCCTGCCTCGCCCAAAGTGTTGGGATTACAGGTGTGAGACACTGTGCCCGGCTGCACCTGGCTAATTTTAAATCTTTGTAGAGATTGGGTTTTGCCATGTTGTCCAGGCTGGTCTCGAACTGCTGGGCTCAAGCGATCTTCCTGCCTTAGTCTTTCAAAGTGCTGGGATGATAAGCGTGAGCCACCTTACTTGGCCATATTATTCAGTTTTCATGAGTTTAAGTTTAAATAGCCACAGGTGTGCTGGGCGGGGTGGCTTATGACCATAATCCCAGCTACTCAGGAGGCTAAGGCAGAAGAATCGCTTGAACCTGGGAGGCAGAGGTTGCAGTGAACCTAGATCGTGCCACTGTACTCCAGCCTGGGCAACAGAGCGAGACTCTAAAAATAAAATAAATAGCCACAAGTGGTTGGTGGCTGCCATATTAGATGGTGCAGTTTTATCCAGATGGAGATCAAGATGTAGTCAGGGAAAGGTTTGAGGACAGATGGGATTGTGGAGAGATGACTGGGTTTACAGGTGAAGGTCGGGTTAGCAAGAGGGGTGGGGCTGCTTCCCTTGTTCCTGACTTCTTGCCCCTCCTCTACTCACTCCCTTCATTGAATACCCTGCTGCCCTGCAGATGCATTTGCCTGATTTGCACCTCCCTGCCTGTCTCTGCTACCATAGCAGATGTTTCAGTGCTCAGGGAAAGGAGGAAGAAGGAAACTCAGATTGTCAGGGAATCATGAGTCAGTTTCTCACCACCACCCCAGGCCTGGGCTTGGTTAAGTCATTTCACCTCTCTGACCCCAGTTAGTGGAGCGAGTAGAGTCCCTAACCTGTTGGAAGTTAGGAAGCACCTGGAGCTTGGTCTGTGCTAATTATCAGTGACTATTTTTGTGACCCAGGTCTTCAGGGGCAGCCTATCTGGGGGTTCCAATACCCTGTGCAGTATCTCCAAGTGATAGGTACTCAGTGTGTGTATTAGTCTGTTCTCAGGCTGCTAATGAAAACACACCTGAGACTGGGTAATTTTTAAAGAAAAAGAGGTTTAATGGACTCACAGTTCCACATCCTGGGGAGGCCTCACAATCATGGCGGAAGGTGAGTGAGAAGCAAAGTCACATCTCACATGGTGGTAGGCAGAGTGCTTGCAGGGGAACTCCCCCTAATAAAACCATCAGATCTAGTGAGACTTATTCACCATCATGAGAACAGCACGTGAAAGACAGTCTCTCCCCGCCATGATTCAGTTACTGCCCATTGGGTCCTTCCCATGACTTATGGGAGATTTGAGTTGGGGACACAGCCAAACCGTATCAGTGTGTATTGTGGGATGAGTGGAGATGGACATTATGGTCTTCTAAGTGCCCAGGCTGGAGTGCGGTGGCGCCATCTAGGCTCACTGCAGCTTCGGTCCTCCAGGTTCAAGGGATTCTCCTGCCTCAGCTTGCTGAGTAGCTGGGATTATAGGCTACCACATCCAGCTTATTTTTGTAGTTTTAGTAGAGATGGGTTTTCACCATGTTGGTCAGGCTGGTCCCGAACTCCTGACCTCATGATCTGCCTGCCTTGGCGTCCCAAAGTGCTGGGATTATAGGCATGAACCACTATGCCCGGTGTTGTATTGGACTGAGCACAGAAAGTTAACACTAAGACAAAAGTATGCTAAACTGCAGGGTTTATTGACGGCGACCACGGAGGACTCACGTCTCTCTAACCTGTGGCAGAGAAAGAAGGGTGACAAGACCTTTTTATACCCGCAAAACTACCTTGGGAGTCGGGGTGAGGAGTGGAGATGGGAATGAAAGTCTGTAAATCACTTCCTAGGCTGAGACGAGAGTGAGGGGGCTCCGGACATTCTAAGGGCCAGGGGACTTTTGTCATTTTGATTGTCACTTAAGTGGTTTACAGAAGTCAAGATAAAACATTAGTTTATACATTATCTGGACAGGTGTGGGGTCCACAGATTTTTTAGTTGCTTGGCGCCAGGATGGAATTATCTGAGGGTGCTTACTGTGGTCAGTACCGGTAAACAGAGGCTGGCAATTCTGGCAGTTACAGATAAGAGAAAGTATGCAGCTTTACTTCTTGGCATTTTAGCAGTTTTTCAGAGGCCAAGGTTCGCATTCATTGTGAGGAGAATGGAAACAGTTTTGTCTTTTATAAAATGGCAGTGTACAGGTTTTAACTCTAGGCCAGCTATATCACACCTGGCCCAGAGTTTGTATTTTATTTTTTGAGATGGAGTCTCCCTCTGTCACCCAGGCTTGAGCACAGTGGCACAATCTCACAT